TCCGGTCACGTAATAAGTTCGTTAGCAATTTTAATTTCCGACGCCAGAGGCATCGGCAACCGGACCAATATGGCGGCGAATTTACCGCTATGATTGGGTTATGTCATGTCCATAGAGCAACTTGTAACAATACAAAATCCATTTTACATACGTTCGAATTTAGCCATCGCTCTAGCTTTGTTGGTAATCTATATGATTACATAGTTTTTTGGTTAGAAGAATCTGGGGAACAAGTGGGACGTAAAGAAAAATTAATGAGGTTGTAATAAAAATAATCTCAGTACAGAGTACTAAAAAAACCGAGTTCGAAAGTCATTCGTCCCCTAGTTTGCCAACCTTAGAGGTGGGATATTTTCTTCAAATTTAAATGGAACTAACACTGAGGTATCCTCTTTCTAACAAAAGAAGAATCATCAAAATCCGTTCACAAAGAGTTATCACGTAACATACGTATGTATACGACTATAATTTGTTTTGTATGCATGTATACATACAAAAAACATTACAGTCAAACTGAGAACCTCCTCCTTTTTTGAAGCCGGTTAATAATGCAAGCAATAAGATGCTTCTTAAAGACAATAGCTTTATATACCACGAACCTGCCTTTATTTTTATTTATTTGAAAGTATGCTTGTTTAAGCCGCGAAGATTTCTCACGGTGCAACTTTATCAAGATGCAGATGTTCTCTCTGTTCGTTAAATTTATATTCTCCACACTGTACTTCAACAACACTCAAGTATACATATTTATAATTATATTAGAGTATCCACAGCTAGAAGATCCTATACAATATGTTAGACAATATGGTTAGTACCGCCTTTGCGTCGAGGTTCTATCATTTTAAGTTAAGAGTGAGAGTGGGAATTTTGTAAATAAAAATTAAATATAGTAAATTCACGTAAGAACCTAAGCAAAAATAAAATAACGAAATGGCTTAAGATACAGAATTGTGACGAAACCGAAAGAGTACTTGAGAACACACACTCACACGCCAGACATACCTTTTGTTAATTGTTAAGTGCTTACGTTCTAAGTCATAATTATTTCCGTGGTGGGGGGCCGGGAAGCTATAGCACAGGCTATTATATATATATACTAATTAGCTAATACAACTAGCTATCATATATGTAACAAGAATTTTGTAATTTGTGATAGTAGAAATAAACTATTTTGGTTTCTATTAGACATAATTAGGCCCCTATATAATTGTAGATTGCACGTTCCTATTCCACCATTTTGAGGTTAAAATGTTTTCAACTACCTAACAACATTTCGCATATTGATGAAATTTACAATATTTGATTTTGGGTGCGGTAAATTCCGTTTCACGATGTCTAAGGGCTTTCTATTATTAGCATCGTGTTTTTGTATTCGAGTGAAAAATTGGTTTCTGTTTTTTATGACTTACTATCTGGGTCGAAGCTAATTTTATACTAGTCTAGTTTTATGTTAGTCTTCTGTGAAACGGCATCAATAGTTTTTGAATTGTGTTAGTCATAAACATCAAAATTACCTTATTTGATTTGATACAACAAACAAAGACAATAGAAATTAAGAACATAATAATATTAATAACGCGTTTAGGATGTTGCTGGGGTTGCCGCGATACTGCAGTGCATCAGGTATGTTCGCGGCTGCTCATACGGATGGCTTCCATGCCATTCTCAGGAAGAGAGCTGCCTCGATGCTAAGCCGTGTCCGTGGCAGCACCAATGACATTCTTCGCTGTGTGGCTGCGCGGGTTGATTGCCCAATCATTTGTCATTTGATTGGCCTACATATGACTATGTGAATTGTTTAGTTAGTTTTATGAATACTAATAGAGCTAACTAAATAATTTACATACGTATATCTTGTTATTTTTGACTTATTTTTATTGTATATTCTTGACGAAACTGAATTATAATTTGTTAACTTAGAACTATGGACTCCATTGTAGTCTGAAATAAATGATTTTGAATTTGAATTTGAATATTAATAACGCACGCACACTCGTAGCCCCGCACTGAGGAAACCTGATATCGCTGGTGCCATGGCCACACACATAGACAACCACAAATTACACTCAAACTCACGAGGAAATACATATAGGCCATAAAAATATTTCTCCGGCACGGGAATCGAACACGGGACCTTTACGTGTCAGACTGGTATGGTAACCGTAATAAACATATCTACTTGTTAGATTTTCTCGATCGTCACACATAGGAGTCTATTTTTTGTATCTAAATCGAGTATACTGTTTTCAAACAAACCGATGACTGACTTGGATGGTAAAGTCAACCAGTTATGTCTAATATTTAAAATAAACATGTTAAATATGTATTCTAGTAACGGTAGAGGACCTTATCAAAGAGTTCGTCCAGGGAAGTACTGCCACCTTACCAATTACTCCGTTTCGATTTTGAATGGTAAGGGTGCTGGTGAAATCACAGGCACATGAGATTTGTCAACTTATGTTTCAGAGTGACGAGCGCAGTGGCAGTGCCCTAAGATCTTTGCGATTTAAAACTCTGAGTGACACTGCAACTGTTATGGATAGACGTGTCGCTTACCATCAGGCGCGCGACTTGTTCGTCTCGTCACTTGATTTTATAAAAAAAATACATTAAATAAGATTTATAATAATACAAAAGACTTACATCCCGGGATTGTTTGTTAAGCATGGGTTTATGCGGCTTAAAAAAATCTATCTCCAGAGCCTTCTCACGTACCTCAAGCACTGGTTTCCGTAAACAATTTTCGGGCTAAAATAAACACCAACGCGTTACACCTGTATCCAAAAGAGGCAGCGGTGATAAATTCGTAATACCCGACAAATCACGCGTGGGACGAGCCTTACGGATTGCTCGCTTTGGGTCCAATATCCGGGCACTTCTGCAGGATAACCTAATTCCGTGGAGCGGTAAAGAATTTGGATGATTTCGGTAATAGTCTGCTGAAATAGATAAATGTTGATAGAAAACGTAACGTGAGGACGGTGCGAATTTCTTTTTACCTCTATTCCAAAGTCCTGAATGTGCAAATTTATATAAGATTTAGTGCCATTCAAAATGATACCTGAATTAAAAATTCGGTTAATACAGTACAGCACACATGATTAAAGACGGAATCGTATTAGAAATGTAACAAGTGGAGATCTGTTGGGTCTGGTTGTGACGGTGTGACCTCCTTACATCGTCATCCCACCTTTGTATCGCCTTTTTCCGGTTCCTGGCCACTCGTACTTAAATTTAAATTTTGAATTGTTCCATAGTTCTTTTGCGTCGCATTCTGATTTTATTTCGTTCCAATGTCACTCTCTGCTCGATCGCGACAGCGTACGGAGCTGTTAAAATTCAATCGCGTCTAATTTTTATTCCTTTACTAAGTTTATAATCATTACTAAATACAAAATCATGTGCCAATTTTAATGAGTTTATAACCCCTACAGCATTATCATGTCTTTATGAATATATATCTGTAATTCAGTATAACTCGGCCCTTTTGAGGTGAGTGTCTACTTAATATCTAAATATCCATCAAGTTAGGGAGTGTGTGCAATAATGTACGTGTTTTCTATATATACCTTTTATTATTACAGCCTTCTTTGTTACCTTATCTTCTCTTTAACTGATTTTAAATAAATTTGTGGAACTGAGTTTTCTGTTTTACTGCCATGAACCTAGTCACGGCTTGTTAGGTTTACAACCCTTTCATGGTTGACCCATTATGAGTCAGTATCAAATTCACAAGACCACTTGTCCGAAGAACACGTACATTTTAAACCATTGCATTTAGAAATTCCATCAGTTTGCCTGAAGTATATATCAAAATGTATGGACCTAATTTAAGAAACATTATTCACACCAGAACATCGGCGTACCACTGACGCCTTAAGCGTGGTGGAGCTATCAGAAACTGTAGAAAAATGGCCAGCCAAGTCGGTTTTCCACAGAATACATTTCGGGCAATGTGTGCAGGAACTTTAAAATTTAGTTTACCCATCATCTTTCCTCTTTTGGTCTACTAGACATTAAGGACCATTCCAACCTCATGTCATTGTGTGTCACGAACACTTCAAGTCAAACACAAGAAGTCAAAACCGCTAGGTTAGTTTTCTTCAGCTACTTTCACAATTTAATGACATACAGCATTTTGTTTCGGGGCAATGCCGCCGATGTCAATAGAATCTTTGCCCCAGACTATCTTTAAGAAATAAGTTTAAAGAACAAACATTCTCACACTAGCGTACCATTACATTTATGAAAATGTAATTTATGTCAACAAGAATAGTATTTTTTTTATGAAAAAAGTAACAGATATAATATTAACATGAGGAATAATAATCTGCTGTGACTATTATTGCCACGAACTTTTGAGATGGGTTCTTTAGTACTCTGTACTGACAGTGTACTAAAAAACCCATCTCAAAAGTTCGTGGATTTACATCTATTTGCCAAATTTCATTGAAATCGGTTACCGGAAACTGCGCGAAACCGGATTCAGCCAGATTCAGGTGGAATATTTTCTTCAAATTTAAATGGGACCAGTAGTGATGTACACTCTTTCTAACAAACAAAGAATCATCAAAATCGGTTCGCAAATGGAGTTATCGCGTAACATAAATACAACAAAAAAACTACATTTTAATTGAGAAGCTCCACCTTTTTTTTAAAGTCCGTTAAAAATAAACTAACTATTATTGATAGTCGTCTTCACAAAGTCACAAATTCATATAAGAGGCAATGTATACTCTTCTTTAATAACATTACTTTGGATATTCAGAATTTGCCATGAAATAAGATAATTCGATTTTGACTTTGACATTGACTTAACAACCACCTATGTTTCCTGTACTATGTCTTCATGACTAGAGTAAATAGGCATTAACTATACAAACGCATCGACCACGCCGTCTTTTAACTTTACATTGGTCTTTTTTCATTTGAACAGTTACAACGACATTATCAATGTCATTTAATAGCACAAACAATAACCATTTCTTTTCTTGTTGCAGGATGGTACATTTTCCCTATCTGACTTTACGGACGCGTACCAAGAGAATGAGGTCCAACGCGTCATTCGGGCTTACGAGAACTCCATTTCCATCGACATCCACTGCTCGACCAGCGGCGGTGGCGAGTGGGCCAAGTTGCCCGACATGCCCTTTGTCAAGCAGTGCAAGATTAGGGTCAACCCTACTGATATTTTGGACTCCGGCTCGCAGACCATCAAGGACTTTATCTGTAAGTAACATTTTGGATGTTAATTTGATACCCAAAACATTTGTGGAATGTTCAAATAAGGCCCGTAGGTATAGCTCCAGGTTTGCTTTGGATAAGAAGAACATTATTGAGTTACAATCACATTCACAGCGTCATACCAGGGAAACCCTGTGTTGTGGGTGTGACGGACTCGCGTATAGACCACCACAAATTATACCCAAACTCACGAGGGAAATAAATGTAGGCCATACGAATCTCTAAGGCCAAAAAACCTCTGCGTGACATACAAGCATGGTAACCGTTCGGCCATGGAGCAAACGCATCCGAACTTGCATCTATGAGTTTTCCGGAATTTATGTGCGAAACTTAATTTGAAATTTACCATGAGCTTTTCAGTGATGGAAAACGACGTAATGAAACCTGCACGTCGAAAGAGGTACACAACTCTTGGTAAAAGTGTAAAGGACTAAACTCTTCCCAGAGAAGATACTCGTTCCCGGCATTAGGATGTATAAATGAGGTGATGTTGATTGGATAATTTCCCTTGACGTCGATATCGAAAAAGATAACTAAGGGCAAGTAACTTAACCTAATCAGAGTTAATATTATTTACCAATTCGCACTCCTCATGGAAGAATGGCTTAAATGGTGTTACGTCAAAAATGTTTATTGGTCCATCAGATACAGAAAAATATAACCCACACCCTCTCCAATTCTAGTAACTCTATCTACAATATTAGTCGATAGAGTTACAAGAATTCGAGAGAATGTGGGTTATATTTTTCTGTATCAAATGGAGCAATAAACATTTTCGACGTAGTTCCACTTAGACATTCTTCTTTGAGGTGTCTGAAATTACTTTTGCAGAATCTTGTGCTTAAAAAGTATAAATGCATATATATGCTGATATGATCGATGTCTCAAAATAATTATCATCAATAACAAAATCAAATGTATTTGAAATTGACAAATTCAAAACCGTCAGATTGTTACCAAACTCAATAACGATCGACGTACAAACTAATTTTCGGGTACGATTCAATAATTCAGCCCGACGAATCCAGGTCACTGGGTGACGAAGTTGGTATAGATATTATATTTACATATTATATATACAGATTGGATAGCCTCTTTATAGGTATAATTTGTGCTGTATACACTGTAATCATTGTACAGCATAAATGAGCTTTTATATTTATGTTATTTTATTTGTTTATTAATTTTAAATCAGGCAATTACGTGTGGCGCTATTAGGTGTACGACACCCTTTGGCCAAGATTTCATGAAGGTCCACAGATATTCAGCCGGCATTCTCACCACTAACGAATTAAAATTTATGTTGTGGCGGGACTCCAACCGCTCGACCCTCAGGCTTTTAGTCTAATGAACTCCAATATCTCCTCAAACTTCATGGCGTATGTAGTGGCGACACGTATGGGCCGCATACAGCAGAAAATTCGTTGCTTTCGGTGCTGTGCCACATATGTTACGGCTTCCTCTTGTAAATTATAGAGCTATAGAATCCTTGTAAGTATTTCTATCAAGTAATGCGCTTAATTCTCTAAGAAAAATAGATAATAGCTGCGTTTATATAAACGCAGCCAACCCCTAAAGGGTCATGGAGTCAGTAAATGCCACATTGGGGATTATACGACGTAATAGATAAATCGACTGCTAACAATGCTATCGTTAGTAATTGAATTGTTATGGTATTGTTTTGTCTTGTTTACAGCACTCTTTGCGGTTATACTATCGACAGTAAATTAAGTGCTAAATACTCTGTCGGTTGAGAAAAATTTACTTTGCTAATTAAAATTCTAAGTTCGTTAGAAAATATGAGAAGTCTCAAGAACTACCGTTAGAAAAAAAACAATATTTGATGCATGATATCACCATAGCTTAATAAGAGCAAGTAGAACAACTACAACATGTGTGGCGCGGCCTGCACTTCAGAGCGTAGGGTCGTTACATTGTTATTTTAGTTGTACCTGTTCTTTTCCTCTTCTTTCTAGCCGTTCCCAACCTTATCGGTATAGGCCTCCTTCAGTTTCTGCCACTTCTCTCGGTTCTGTGCCACCTGTATCCAATTCAACCCCGCCATTTTCTTTATATCATTCTTCGACGTATCTGCGGTCTCTGTCTGGGGCGTTTTTCCCCCATGCATGTTATGCTTTCGAGGAACGTGACCCGCCCACCACTACTTCAGGTTCGTTACGCGTTTGGTGACAAATGCGACACTGGAATCCTGACGAGCCACTTATTTGTTTTGCGATCTTTGAATGTAATTCCCACCAGCGTCCTCTCTAATGCTCTCTGGGCTACCTGTAATTTCGTACAGTACCTACAAGTTGTAAACATAATTTGAAAAAATTAAGGTGTTCATCACGATATTCTCGTACTATGAAACCTTTGTTAAATTCAGTAATTACTTACGTATTGATTGTGTCATACCAGCATCGGAGATTGCCATCTTGATTATGGAGTATGATCATGAAATAAAAATGAAATGCTCAATAATTTTGAATTCAAAGCACTCTTGTTCAAATTTCCAAAAACACAATAAAAATCATGTCTACTATTTACTATTAACTCGCGAATATTTGTATTTTCATTCAAACCAATGTTTCGGGTACTTTACAGGTCCCATGGTCATGAATGACGTCTACTATTTGATGTCATTGTTTTAAAAACCCAGCTCCCCTTCAATTCTATAATGCTGAGTGGAACAACCCACGCTATGCAATGCGAGTGCACCGCGGGATCCTGCGAATTGATGCGTCCATACATGGCGCGCGGTAGGCGTGCACACATACAAGCCGCGCCGCTTCGTTACCGTGTCGAGTGGCTTGCAACCGGGTTTTCAAGGCGTCGCTATCTCTGAGGTACCGGGTTCCATCCCCGGCCGGGTCAATGTAATACCGTCGTCGTTGTTTCCGATTTCTATAACACAAGTGCTATAGTTACTTACTTTGGGAAGAGAGCAACTTATGTGATGTGGTCTAATATACTACCGTATTTCCTAGAACTAATAATATATACGGTACTCGAAAACAGATTATATTATTCCCAAATTACTGAATGAATTGCCTGTGTGCATTCAAAATTCATATTTGGAAGAGAAATTTAAATTTAAAAAAATCATGTTATGGCGAACCGCTGTGTTTACAATTTGTTGTTTTTGAGCTCCTGTTTCATGTATTTAGTCTTTGTATGCATTAAGTTAAATACTTAAGTGAAAAAATAATATCACCCTCATAACACCAACTTTGAGTTACTTGTATTACAGAACAAAAATTCTCAATATGGATTATCAAATCCACCACAATCTTCTGATAGTTGCACCAATTTAAGGCCTGCGACTTAACAAGGAAATTTACATACGTAAATGGTTTAATTCCCTTAAAATTGTAAGTATTTATAAGTTGCTACTTGTCGATAGGCTTCTGGTTCAAAATCATACATTTCTGGAAGACAATTCACCAACTTGGCAACAATCTAGCAACTCTTCGAATAATATGATTCAGGAATGCAAATCAGCCTTTACAAACGACCAACATTTGAGGTACTCTGATGAAAATTTGTGACTCCTGCAACTAGGGGCGTAATGGCGACGTATAAAGCATGAAATACAGAGAACAGGTGCGGGTCGGGCGCACACGCTCTCGTTGTGATCTTGTCCATAGAAACACACGGAATTAGACCCGCCGCTGTCCCTACCCGAGCCGCACCCGATGTCTATATGTTTCACGCTGGAGAATATTAATAAACCAAGTTTGTGATTTGACTGTGTTTGGAATTCGTGAACTTGCGATTCTTGGTACATAAATTCGACTACCTAATGGCTTAACAATTTACGCTGTGCACGCTGGTTACGAAGGTCCCGGGTTCGATTCCCGGTAGCACCAACTTGGGAAATTAACTTTACTAAATTGGTTCCCGACTGGGTGTTCTTGAAAGTGTTCCAGAGTGAATTCCGTTGCTCTGGAGCTCATAGTAATAATAACAACGTACACACTCATAGCCTCGTCTAAGAAAACTCTGTATAGCAGGTGACACGAGAGAAATAAATGTAGGTAATACAAATATTTCTTTCGGTCCGGGAATCGAACCTCTGCGTGACAGTCCAGCATGGTAACGGTTTCCCCCCGAGGCAGTTGGTCTAGGGCATACCCTGGTTTGACACCAAGCAATTAGTAGGGTTGTCTGGCAAATACATAATTTTTTATTATGTATTATAATATTATAGCGCCCTATCTCAAATACACCATCTCATATTAAAGTGTTTTTTCTCCAAATTATACTACGACTACACACTACTCTCCCCAGTACAATATATACTTACATTCCTCCAATGCAACACAGTAGACGTGTGAACGTCATTCTCCGGAGTGTTATCTGAAAAACTTCTGTCAGCCAAAAGTTCTTTTATTTTTTGGGACGATTCTTATACAACAAAAGTAATAATATTTTACCGACTCATCAAAAAAATAAATATGAGTGTAAGAATATGATAACTAAATGGCTCCCAAAACTGACATATGAAAAATTACAATCAGAACAGGGTACTATTAAAAAAACCGCCCTCAAAAGTTATTCATCCCCTAGTTTGCCACCCTTACAGGAGGAATATTTTCTTCAATTTTAAACGGGACCATTTCTGGGGTACTTCTTTCCAACAAAAAAGAATCATCAAAATCGGTTCACAAAAAAAAAATATCAGCCCAATGAAGTGTTTTCACATCAAATAAGTACATACACTCTTTTTCCCACACACACACATGCAAATGCGCGCGCGCAACATACACACATTTTCAGTGTCATAATATTTTTATTGTATAATTTAGATTAAATTAATGTTACTTACTTGCTGTCTTCATAAATCACTATTTTTCTTATTATACTATTGCTTTGCTGTATATCATTTTTGCATAATGAATATAAAATAACGATATTATTGTATTGTAATAAAAAGGACAAATCGTTCCTAGAGATAGCATTTATCGGTGCAAATAATATTTCTT